CATGTGTGTGTGTGGGGGCAGGGGGGCGCGGAGGGTGGCCAGGGAGGAACAATGGGGGGAAAAGGAGACATATAATACTATATGCAATACTTTAAACAATAAAGAATTTTTTAAAAAAATAAAAAAACAAAGAATTAAAAAATAAATAAAATTTAATTAATTTATTTATTTTTAAATCATTATTGTTGAAAGTATTACATATGCCGCCCTCCCCTCCCCGCCCTTTTTTCCCATTGCCCCCTACTAGCCTGCCCCTGCCCTGTGCCCCAGTCCCTTAGGCTCTTAAAGGCAATTTGCATCACAAATGAGCATCACTCTGACCCTAACAGTTTTAACCTGACAGTTTATTGGTCTCCAAAGTGAGTCCCCAAGTGACAGGAGCCACCAGCAGGGGCATCTCTAAGAGCAAAGGCATGACAAGAATCCCCTGTAGATACCCAGTGTGAGGCTTTGTTCAGAATCAACAGAATTAATTGCTCTCAAACAAAGACAAATGTAGTTACAGATGCTAAATCCTCCTGCGGCTGCCCACCAAAGTAAAGCCTTTTTAAGAAATTAGTTTATGACCCAGCAAACCCTACTCCTGGTACTTAGGATCTTGCTCTAAGAAAAAGTAACAATAGTAGTTTCTCAAAACCTAAAACTAATTCCAGTAAGACCCACCTGTTTCATTAAGCAGCTGAGCTGATCTTTCTAGACTAGACCACCCTTCATTGTCGTAGCCAAACCTGAAAGGCCAGATGGCGGCAGAGACTTCCGTGGTTGGTGCCTGAGGAGGTTTTAATGTGAATTAGGATAACTATAAAAACGGCAGGTTCAATGACCCCATTTTTCCCACCTCCTTCTACCAAAATTCATATTTCAGCAAAGCATTTTCGTAAGTATCTGCCCACATTTAATTCATAAAAATAAGGAGATATTTGCTAAACAGTATTCTCATAATCCTCCATGAACTTCTAGCTTAAGCTTAGAAGTTTGGAAAGTGAGCATTTGTAATAAAGACTGTTTATAATAGCAAACATTTAAAAATAATCTGGCTGTTGTTGCAATAGGCAAAATAGGAAAATGAATTAATTGTACCACTTACAAATAATGGAATACTGCACAGAGCTAATAAATGAGTTGAGGATATGTATTTCCACATGGATGAATCTCACAAAGATGATTTTAAGAAAAAAGTTGTAAAATATATATATGTCAGATGTCATTTAGATAAAGTTAAAAAAACGGAAGAAATACTGTCTTGAGATAGAGCATCTATGGTAACAATAGAAAGAAATGCATGGAAATGATAAACACCACGTTCAGGAGAGGGGTTTCCCTTGCCCCGGAGAAGAAGGAGCTCACAGGGGGGCACAGAGAGTCCTTTAACATGTTTGTAAAGTGGCGTGCCCCTCTAACTGAGGTATGGTGGTGCCGCTCCCCTACTGTCCCCACAAGGCCAGGTTCAGGAGCACAGCCCCTCTCAGGGTTCCTCTTTTGGGTCAGTGGGCTCAGTCAGAGAATGCACTGCTCAACCCTAATCATCATCTCAAACTAATACCTTCTGGCCCGCAACCGGGATCCTGTGAAAGAGGATGGATTAAAACAAATCCATCGCCACAACTGAAAAATACCTCAAAGTGGACCACGGAGCTCAGACTGGGAGAAGAATAAGTAGCAACTTCTAGGTGTCGGAGGGCCATTACTCAACACAAAAAGCTCAATGTGCCACCAGCAGTGAGCTGGGCATTTCATCTTTCCACAAGAAAAATTACCCTGTTTAGTGAGTGTCACATAAAGAGAATGGAACCATCAACAGAGAGTTCAAGAAGCATGGTTATATTCATCAAGCTATCCCTTTTCATGCAACTAATTAACTCTGGATTTTATCACCCCAAAACCTGGTATTCCCTCATTCCTCCAATCCTCAATAAGTGCTACTTCCCTCCATCCAGTTGCTCAAACCAAAAAAACAGAAGCCATCCTGACACCTTACTTGTTCCTCTGAATACTGTCTCTCTCCCCTACTAGAATGTAAACTCCATGAGAGCAGGCATCTTGTCTAACTCGTTTACCTTCTAATCTCTGTCACCAGGCACAAATGAGACATTCAAAGATTTATCAAACGAATGAATGAATGAATGACCAAAAGAACAGGCACAAAATCCAACTGAAATGACTCCTTTTGAAAAGAATCCCTGACATTACATATCCTCTTCTGGCTGACATTATTTGCAGTCATAAATAATAAATAAGTAATAAATAATAAATAAAGGGAAAAATAAAGAGATTATGTAATGACCTCAATTAAGAAATAGTTACTGAGTTCTGAGGATGTGCCAAGCACTCCATGAGGTGCTAGGAGCACCGAGGTCAGCAAGAGAAGCAGGCCCTGCATCTTCAGTATAGCTTTTTATTTAACATGAAACATTTGCCTGGTAATACAGATTGCTAAAAAAATCCAAAGTTAACCCATGAATTCTATTCTATGATTCTCACTGCATTATGATATACATCAAGCTTTTTATCAGAGTGGAGGATAGCACAACATTGCAATGACTTACTCTTACCCACCTCTCTAACAGAGAAAGGGAGAAAACATACATAACTGTAGATAGCAAGAGGGAAAGAAAGAGACAAGAAAACTTCCACACCTCATCAATACACAAGTTACCCCAAATCTGCAAAATGGAGGATTGTCTGTAAGATTTTTATTCAATCAAAGAATCTCACATTATTGCCTTCAGCAATATCTACCAGACAGTACAAAGAAGCCATTGTAAAACAGTTCTTTATTTCATGGTTTAGATATGTTAAACCTTCGGATGAGAAAGATAACTTCTATGTATAACAAAATCACAAGCAGTTTGCCTCTATGATGTGTGTCTATCCTGTCCCAAGAATCCAGCCCAACTTCATAAAATAATTCTATGTTATTAGCCTATGACCTAAGGGTTAAGGAGATGAAATACAGAGCCTTTACGTCATTAGATCCAGGTCTAGAGCTCAGTACAAATGTATGTATATACATACACATATATCCTACAAAATCCTATATTAAGATTGGTATTTACTTACCCTATTGCCCAACTTCCTTTCATAGCTTTTATGCCGTAGTCCTAATCCTAATAACCCCACACCAACGAGCAGCCACAAAACTAAACAGAAAGCAAAGATACTTGTTTAAAAGAAGTTAAGTTTGCTTAAAAAATAATTTTCATGAAATTATTAAACCTATTAATCAAGGATTTTGTGCAAAGGGGAAATGTCTAATTTATGAGTTAATTTTCATGTGTGACATGCATACATGACCCATACTTTAAAACCAGGTTTCAAAGAATCTGCCCTAAAAATATTCCAATAGCCATGAGATTAAAGTAAATGTAAATCATAAATAGATACAAGATAATATACGTGAAAACAACGTTCCATGAGCAGGAACCAGCAGGAAAAATCACTCTAAAGAATCAAGCCCACAGCCCTAGCTGGTTTGGCTCAGCGGATAGAACTTTGGCCTGTGGACTAAAGGGTCCCAGGTTCGATTCTAGTCAAGGGCACATGCCCAGGTTGTGGGCTCAATCCCCAGTAGGGGGCATGTAGGAAGCAGCCAATCAATGATTCTCTCTCATCATTGATGTTTCTATATCTCTTTCTCCCTCTCCCTTCCTCTCTGAAATTAATACAATATATATATTTTAAAAAAGAATCAAGCCCACAAATACTTCAGATATTAAACTTTAAGAATCAAAACATAGTCCTGGCCAGTGTTATTGAGTGGTTAGAGCATTGGCCCACCACCGAAGGGTCACAGGTTAGATTCCTGATCAAAGGCATATACCTTGGTTGCAAGTTCAATCCCTAGTCCTGGTTGGGGTGCGTGAAGGAGGCAACCAATGGACGTGTCTCTTAATCGACGTGTCTCTCTCTCTCTCTCTCTCTCTCTCTCTCTCTCTCTCTCTCTCTCTCCCCCACTCTTCCACTCTCCCTTAAAAAAAAAACAACCCAAAATCAATGTCAAAAATAGCCTGGGGTACGGATTAACAAAACAAACAACAACAAAAAAAGAATCAGAATATAAAATAAGGCACTTAACATGTTTAGAAAAATAAAAGAGGACATTAATAGTATGACTGAAGAACATGAGACTAACTCAGTGATCAGAAAAATTTGTAAAGAAATTAATAGACTTGTGGAAATAAAATTATATAGTAACTATAATAACTGAAATTAGAAACTCAATGGACAAAATGAACAGCAGATTAGACTAAGCTGAATAGAGAATTAGTGCAAGGGGCAGTTTAAAAACAAAGGTAGAGAGCCCAGTTGTTGTGGTTCAATTGATTGAGCGTGGTCCCATGCACCAAGAGGCCACCAGTTCGATTCCTGGTTAGAGCACATGCCCAGGTTGAGGGCTTGATCCCCAATAGAAGGTGTGCAAGAGGTAGCTGATTGATGTTTCCCTCTCATTGATGTTTCTATCTCTCTCTCCCTCTCCCTCTCTGTCTAAAGTCAATAAAAAAACATTTTAACAAAAAAGGAAAGCAAGAAGATAAACAAGAAAAAATATACCTAGAGAAAGTGGAAAAATAAAAGATGATGGAAATAAATCATAATACATGAGAAATTGCAAAAATAGTAGATTAAACTTTGAAGTTGAAAGACAAAGACTGACATTCCAGAAAAGGCAAAACAATGGAGACAGTGGTTGCAAGGAGTTTGGAGGAGGGAGGGGAGGATGAATAGGTGAAGCACAGGGATTGTTTAGGTAGCAAAACTGCTCTGCATAATACTATAATGGTAGAGACATGTGATCATACATTTTTCAAAACCCATAGAACATACCACAAAAAGAATGAACTCTAATGTAAACTATGAACTTCAGTACATAATAATTTACCAATATTGGCTCATCAATTATAACAAACCCTGGTACCCTGCGCTGGGTAGAAGGGGGCCTTTCCATGTTTTTAAATCCTACATAACACTATGTAGTTGTGAAATTTATTGTATCTAAAACACTATTTGCAAATTTTATACATTCAATAAATATTGTTAATCCAGTTCATTTGAAATGAGTCCTATTAAATAGTAAACTTATTTCATGTTTGACTTTATAGCTCATCAATATTCCAAAAGTTAACATATTTAATCTCCCAAAAAAGAAGAAAAAGAAATGGAAAAATAGTCTCAACTATTAAAACAAAGCATTTTGGAAATTTTACCTGTTAAATCAACTTATCTATGTTAGAAGTGAAACAAAACTAACACACAGTATTTACAGTTAAAATGACATAATATCAGAGATTCTCTTCAAAGTATTTCACCAAAAACCATAGGGAAGATAGCTGTTAATAACAATTGTTGGAACTGGGCGAAGGGTACATGAGGAATCATTATACTCTTTAATTTCATATATGTTCGAAGCTTTATATTTTTAACAAATGCTTTTTAAAAAGAAAGCAAAACTATACTTACAAAGTTTCATATATTTTTCACTCTTTCTGAAAAGCACATTTGGGTTGTTTTTTGTTTGAAGAAGAAAGTCAAGACTTTTCTTAGGACCAAATAGCATATTCAGCCCAATAATTAGCATCACTGTCCCTATCAAAAGAGAAAGAATATATTAGACGGTATTACATCTTAATCCAAGAATGCTTCCTATGATAAATACCAGAGGCCAACATTTCGGTGACATGGGCACATCCTAAGAATTCAGTTATTAAGTTAATTTATCTCAGTCCCTAAGCAGTTGCTCCAGCAGTACTTTTGATCACGGGGATGATCGTAAGCAATCAGCTCAGTAGAACCCTGATGGATCTCTTTTAATTTCCCGAATGTTTCCTTAGTTGTTAGGTTGCTGACCATGTGCATCACTATTGACCGGGCAGAGGAGGGTGGAGCTCAGAGAGAGGAGCCTTCTGAACAGCCTTAAGGACTCAGGCTTCTCCACACGGCACACAGGAGGCCAGGTAGGTTCTCAACATGGCAGTGTTCCTGGCAACAATTCTGGCCTGGATGTGGGTGTTCTGGGCACTGGCTCCCCACAGGGTGTGCATGCTGGAACACACAGTGCCAAAGAGGTGGGCCAATAAAGCTGAGTTCCGTTGGATGCACTACAATGTAGCTTGCATGGAAAGTTTATGTACTGCTAAGGTGGTACCGAATAGAGTGGAAACGGAGGTATGACTGAACACTATATCAATTAGGAACTGTCAAGTAAGAGTTAGGTTTAGGCTAGCAAAACACAACAAAACAAAAATTATGTGCCATTTCCAGGAAATAGCAGGAGAAACCCAGACAATACATGTATAACTAGTTTCTGATTGAATGCACATTCTTTTCAATTGTATTAAAAGCTACTCTGAAAATTACCAAGATTTCTTAATTTTGTGGCCTTATCAATATAGTGTCATGCTTACTAAAACAAAAAAATAATAATTCTTACTTGAGAAGGCACTCAAAAAGCACATCACGCATAATACTCTGAAGAAGTAAACTTAAGCTCACAATAGCTCTTACTTTCATTTGGGCTCTCCACATGGCAGACCCCTAAGCAAGCTGGAGGAAGGAAAGAGCAGGGCATTGCACAGGAGGACAGAGCAGGACAGAGCACACACACCTGAAAGAAACCAGAAGAAATACCAAGTTCGCAAAGCCAAGGTTATCTATCGCGGAGGAAATGCGGCAATGGGTTTCTCTAACCAGATGAGAGCTTGGGAATTCACCAGAAATATCAAATTCTTAACAATCATTTTAAATATTTCATGTCATTTTAATATATATATATATATTAGAGGCCTGGTGCATGAATTCGTGCACCAGTGGGGTCCCTCAGCCTGGCCTGCAGGATCAGGCCGAAACTGGCTCTCCGACATCCCCTGAGGGGTCCCAGGTTGCGAGAGGGCGAAGGCCAGGCTGAGGGACCCCACCGGTGCACGATTGGAGCTGGGGAGGAACGTGGGAGGTTGGCCAGCTGGGGAGGGATCGCAGGAGGGCTCCAGGGCATGTCCAGCCCATCTCACTCAGTCCTGATCAGCCAGACCCCAGCAGCAAGCTCACCTACCAGTCGGAGTGTCTGCCCCCTGGTGGTCAGTGTACATCATAGCAAGCAGTTGAGTGGCCTTGTCACATCATTAGCATATTACACTTTGATTGGTTAAATGACCAACCAGACAACTGGACATTTAGCGTATTAGGCTTTTATTACATAGGATTCCAAATCAGCCTCTCCTGACAGATTTCTAGCTCATGGAATAGAAAAACTTATGTGAAACTGTCCGAAGTAGTTGGATTTTTACCAAGGACTCAGGGGAGACGGCAAAGGAACTCGGGTAGAAGCCTAGATATGCAGCACTCACCCCAACTGCACTTCCACAGGTATTTGTTTAATTTTATCTATGATGTTTCCCCCACTACATTGAGGCTTCAGGTGGGCAAGGGCACTATATCTTTTAAGTCTTCAGCACCTGGCACTGTGCCTGGAACACAGGAGGTGTGCAATCATTTTTTTCATGAGTAAATGAACAAATGAAAAAATGAATGAATGCACAAACAAGAACTGAATCCCCTATTAACATGTTTCAGCTCTTCACTTTTTCAAAGGTTTTATCCTTGAAGCATCTGACATGTTTTACTTAAACTAAAATGATAAGCAACATTTGATTTATAGATTATACATCAGTAATTTCATCATTGCCAGCAAACAATTTTTAAAGTACTAAACTGGGATGGGTTTATGAAATTTTAATTATGGCATGTAAGTTCATAACCACTGAAATGAAAAATGTATTTATTCTATGATTTGGGAATTTTCATCATTTACACTAAGATTCACATACGCAAAATATATTTTATGGGTAAAAATATCTATATAGTAAAAGCCTAAGTGACCGTTATGGCAGAACGACCAGAACAACCAGTCGCTATGATGCGCACTGACCACCAGGGGGCAGACACTCAACACAGGAGCAGCCTCCTGGTGGTCAGTGCATTCCCACAGGGGGAGCACTGCTCAGCCATAAGCAGGGCTCACAGCTGGCGAGTGCAACAGTGGTGGCAGGAGCCTCTCCCGCCTCCACAGCAGTGCTAAGGAGCAGCAAGCAGACAGGTGGTAAGGAGCAAGGGGTCCCCAACTGTGAGAGGGCGCAGGCTGGGCTGAGGGACCTCCCCCCTCCAGTGCACAAATTTCGTGCACCAGGCCTCTAGGATAGTAAATAAAAATCATAGATAAAATTCAGAAAAACCAAAAAAAAAATCACAATTCCAAAAAAATGTATACACACTTTAACAGATAATAGCTCAATTGATGTTTCTTTTGTTTCAGGTTTAACCCATTGGAATTAAAAATTATTCGAAGTGTGTATACATCTTTTTGGACACCCCCTTTCCCAGTATATCATAAATACAAGTGTTACCTAGTACCTCTTTTATACTTTATTATGAATTAAACTTGTTTTTCACAACCAATTCATTTAAAAGGGCTTTGTAGTAATAAATATTACTGAAACTCAAACGAATGAAGAAATTTGTTTTAAGTAGTAATTTAGACATTCCTCCAGTGTTGTTTTTTTAAATCAAGAGACTCTTTTAATGAGAAGGCCAAATCATCCTATTTATTTCCACTTGTCGTGTAAAGTGCTAACTCCCAGTCTTGAAGGGTTTTTGCCAATAGTTATTAGTTTAATCCAGACCCTTATAATGTACTCACCCAAAAGCACATCTGATCTTTCTCTAGCGTAGACACCTCCTGGGACAAATTTAAAAGCTGTGCACCATGCACAGAAAAATGTATCTAGGAGATAAACTATCATGGCAATGGTCATGGTTTTCCCAGGGTTTGACCCTGAGCTGATAAGGTGTCCAAGCACTTGAGGCCACATGGACGCTGTGAAGAGGGCGAGTACGCAGCCAGAAACAGCGGCTGCCCACGTGGGCAAGTACAGGAGACCAGCTGCCGAAGCCGCTCCTGTTTTTGAGAGAGAAAAAGAAAAAGAATCAGACAGGAAAGCAGTAATAGTCTCTTCCATTTTCTCATAAATAAATAAATAAATAAATAAATAAATAAATAAATAGGAGGGAGGCTTATGGGATGACCAATGTATAGCCATTTAGAGCCAGAAGGGACCTCAGGGGCAGACTGGTCCAACCTTCACGCTAATGAGAAAGTGAGGTCTGGAAAGGTTAACGTGTCTTGCTGGAGGTCACACAGTGAGTTACTTGTACAACCCGAGATGGAATGTGGGTCCAGTGAACCTCCGTCCTGTGATACTTCTTCAGGAATGGTGGGGAGAAGGAAAAAGGCATTTTTAGATTATTTGTGTTATGATCCTAAGATCAATAAAAACTGAACTTACCTGCAATACCAAAAACATGTCCATTTAATTGAACTAGCGAGGTCCAGGACTTAGACAACATGTTAGAGTCAGGTGGTTTCTAGAATGTTTTTGTTAAGGAACTTTCTAAAGGCATTTTCTTCCATTTGAATACTGCCCCTAGTTCTATATTAGGTATGTTGCTTTCCCAACCACACTGGCCCAAAAGAAGATGGGGCCGAGATAGTGCTGTAGACACGCTGCTTTAGCAAGTCCGCGGTCCGCTCATCCCTTCTCCAACAGCCTGGGAGGTTTGGGGGCTGTGCAATCTGCCTGGTCCACAGCACACCCTTAGCAAATGCTGGCTCATTTGTTGAGCCAATCCCAAGGAAACAGAACAATTCTCCCACTTCCTGTGAAATCTTTGAGAAAGCATATCAGGGTCTTACAGCACCCCATTTTTAAAACTGTCAGTATATATATATATATATTTATATATTGATTTATATATTATATATTAAAAATATATATTGATTTCAGAGAGGAAGGGAGAGAGAGAAAAGAAAGATCAATGATGAGAGAGAATCATTAATCGGCTGCCTCCTGCACGCTCCCCACTGGGGATCGAGCCTGCAATCCGGGCATGTGCCCTTGACCGGAATCGAGCCCAGGACCCTTTAGTCTGTAGGCCGATGCTCTATCCACTGAGCCAAATGGCCAGGGCACTATAACACTTTTCCACAGAATATGACATTTTCTAGACATTTCAATCAATGTATCGTTGTGATCCACCCTCCAAGGTGTCTGCAGCAAACTCCTCAATGCTCGGGGCGAGAACTCCAGAAAAGCCAGCAGGCGGAGCAGGAAGTGGCCCCAGCCAGTGCCCCGGTTCACACCCATCAGTAAGTTCCACCTGCACCGTCACAGGACAAAGCCATGTGACTATTTCCCCGGCTTCAAAAGACCACAACTCCTACAAACAGGAGAAACAGATTCCAGGGCCCTCTACAACTCACGGACTTTAATTCCACATGAGACCTCCCACTCATAGATCTGACAATGGTTATTTTAATAACAGAAAAAAAAAATTTTTCATCTTGAGATTTAAAAATACAGAACTGTAAGGAAGCAATTAAGAATTGTCAAAACTCCGAAGTATTTCTCCTAATCTTTTTCCATGGCTATATGGTAGCATTTTTACGTAAATTGAACCATACCCTACATTGAGGATTATATTCTGCTTCTTATGTGACATTATATCCAGAATGTTTTCTCATGTTATTAATTTTTTGCCTATAACATTTTGTGTACATATATTGCTGTGAGATCACACACCGCAATATAAGCAGCCATGTTCCTATGGTTGGCCACATAGGAAGCTTCTGACACTGTGAGGGACATCTTTCTTTCTTTGTCAATTAATCTCTGACTACAGCTCTGATTATTAAAACAGGTTCTTAGAAATACAATTACTGTGTCAAGAGGTAAAGGCATTTTAAAGAGTCATTCATTACCTGTGGTCACTGATTTCCTGAAAGGTGACATGTGTCCTTTTTTCTCAGAAACCTTGCCAAACATATTCCCTTTTGAACTCTGACAAAGTTACCTTTTCTAAAAATCTTTGCCAAAATAATGATGAAAACAGTATCACATTCTAAATCAGTGGTCGCTAACTAGTGGTCTGCAGACCACTGGTGGTCTGTGAGGTCCGAAAGGTTGGCGACTGCCATTCTAAATTACATGTATTTATTAGTGAGATTAAATTTTTTTTTGTTTACAAGCTTTCAATGACTAATTTTTTTTGTTTTTAAAAACAACTTTATTATTTTACATTTTTGAAAATGTGTCCTGTGCTCACCTCCTAATTAACAATTAATCATCAATGCTTATCTTCATCAGTTTTCTTTTTTTCTTTCATTTTCTGTATTATTTTGGCTTATTTTATTCTTTTTCTAATTTCTTTTTTTTTTAATTTTTCTATTGCTTAAAGTATTACAAAGGGTATTACATATGTGTCCTTTTTTTTCCCCACCCTTGACAATCCCCTGGCCTCCCCTACCCCCCAGTGTCTTATGTCCATTGGTTATGCTTATATGCATGCATACAAGTCCTTCGGTTGATCTTTTTTTGTTGTTTACAAGCTTTCAATGACTAATTTTTAAAAGAATGATTTGATATTCTAAGGACATAAGAATGACTGTTTCTTCTGTCATAGCACAGAGAATTATCTGGAGGGAAAGAAAACACCTCTTCAAATTTCCCTTGGCTGTTACTGTCTTTTTAAAATTTACTTTCTATTTTTACATAGGCTATATATTTTTAAATCCACAAAAATTGTATTTTTTAAAAGGCTATCAATTCAAAATTTGGAAGGTACAAGAGAGTCCTTCTGACCATCGTCACCCACTAGCTCCCTATAGTGAAAGCAACCAATGTTGGCATTTCCTGCATCCTTCCAGAGACACCTATGCAGAGGAAGAAATACATATGTGTGCACACGTCTCTTCGTGCACACCAGTGGCGGCACATGGCACGCACTCTGAGTCACTGTGCCTTTTTCACTTAATTGTATGCCTTAACTGTTGTTTTGTTTGAGATGAGTCTCCTGAGTCATTATAACATCAGGAGTCTTCCAAGTCTTTACAACATCTAAGACACCAAACAGAATGAATGGTACTAGAACATTCCAATAATATTTATAATGTCTACCATGTTCATTTTCAAAAGATCAACTTTTTCATACAATAAAATCATAGGTGCCCTATCTAGTACACTGGGGTCCTCTGAATGTGTTTAGTACATTATGTCTTTTTTAAATAGAACTTTGATTTTACTAATTCAATGTCCATCAAGATTTCAAACTCTTTGCATTTACAACATTCTACTGGTCATTGCCATAATTAATTTCATGCCAAGACCCAGCTGGGACTTCCTACACAATAAAAAATATGATTGTCAACTGCAATAAAATATGTCAACTGCACAATAAAAAATATGATTTCTTTTTATACACTCTGCTTTAGGATGTGATTTCCAGAGATGAATCAGTGAAAAGTGGGCACCATTTCTAGATAATTGAGAACCCAACGTATTTCAGGTGAGCAGATCAGAGAGGGAGAGGAAGCGTGTGAACGATGGCCCTGCTTTCCTCTCTGTTGCAAAGAGCCTATTCGAGGCCTCCAATCTGTTTGCCCCTAGAGCAGCAGTTCTCAACCTGTGGGTCGTGACCCCTTTTGGGGTCGAACTACCCTTTCACAGGGGTCGCCTAAATACATCCTGCAAATCAGATATTTACATTATGATTCATAACAGTAGAAAAATTACAGTTATGAAGTAGCAACAAAAATAATTTTATGGTTGGGGGTCACCACAACATGAGGAACTGTATTAAAGGGTCGTAGCATTAGGAAGGTTGAGAACCACTGCCCTAGAGTCTTTTAAACTACCATGAAATACTCCAGGGAGACGGCAACACTAGATTAGATTTGACTCTCAAGGGTTTGACCTTACTTACTTATCTGCGGAGGTAAATCTAAGCATAATACTGAGTTCACAGCCTTTCTGTTCTGTGACTAAATGTTGATATGTCTGTTTAAAATGAAGCTGCTACCTACCTGCCCCATAAGCATGTTGCTTCTATTCTAGGAGAAAAAGCATGATAGAAATGTTTAACAAACTCTCACTGTGCTCCATGTTCCTTTTCCCAGTTGCACACAGATGAAGAAGCTATGGGTGCTCATTGCACACTCAGCATTAGCAAAATGATCTGATCCTTGTCTTAAGGACTCTCATGAGGTATCTCTTTGATGAGAAGAAAGGTTACTCCAATATTCACACAAACTTCCTCCCACCCCACAGGGAACACCTACCAGAAAACACACAAGCGAGTGAAAGCAGCTCAAGGCGACTGCAACATTGCGCTCACACAGCCCTGGGGGAGGAGGGCCTGGCCGTCCTCATTAATTGAGCAGCCTGTTGGATTTCACATCCCTCTCCATGCAAGGTGATGGCACTTGGGGGTACAGAAATTTACTTATTATGTTATTCAATCCACATCTATTACCAATACACATATTCTCACATATCCACACATCATCTCTCCTGCTTAATTAGTTTATAAAAAGACATCTCTCCAGACCGAAGCCAAATATACTATGCACACAGGAAATGCAGGCCTCATTATGGAGTTCCAAAGGAGGGCATTCCTGAAAACCAGAGAAGCAAGGAATCTTGGAGAGGGAGGAGGTCTGGCCACAAGGCAATGTTCAACCCTCCATCTCCTCAGACCTTCGGTAAACTGGAAGGCACCTGACACACGTGTCTTAGATAAGTCGTTTGGGAGATGGGGGAGGTCATATAAGCAGAGTCAGGACAGAATTAGACAGCTACAGGAGGAGAGGCGAAATGAAATAGGAGGAAGTGGAATCTGGAGCCGCTGTCATTGGCAACCACGGTGACAGATGGGCCATAGGGGCTGCAGCTGGTTATAATAGCACACGGCTGCCTTGGTCATCTCCATTCAGATGCACATGCTTGCAACCAAGCTGAACAACTAGCATACCTGCAGCTAAACTCCACATACCTGTAACCCACCAGAGTAAACTGGTACTCGGGAACCATGAACAAGTCGAAAGCATCAACCCGCTCACCAAAGCCAGCAGAATTGCACCTCTGTGGGAAAAAGAAAAAAAAAGACATGCCATAAGACTTCTGACATTATTAATATTTCATTGCCCCATCTGTGAGAAATAAAAATATCTCCTACTTCTGGGTACAGCCAAGAGATAATATGAGATATTGAGAGCCCATGGGAACCCATGTTATATACAGTCAGAACTCTAAGTAAATCATATGTGCAGTCTCATGCTCAGTAAAGGACTTAAGTTTCCTCAGACTATTAAATTATAGTCCAAACGGGCCATGTGACTCATTTTAAATGACCCTGCCAAAGACAAAAATAGAAAGTCATTGGGAATAGTTTTTATTTAGTTTGCCTCTTCTCTCCTCTGCCTCAGTAATGCCTTTGTCTGCAGTTTCTGCCTTCCTGAGACCTCTGTCAGTTGGATAAGTAATTGATAGTTGTGTGGGGTTTTTTTTTGTTTTTTGTTTTTTATTGATTTTTTACAGAGAGGAAGGGAGAGAGATAGAGAGTTAGAAATATTGATGAGAGAGAAACATCAATCAGCTGCCTCCTGCACACCCCCCACTGGGGATGTGCCCACAACCAAGGTACATGCCCTTGACCGGAATCAAACCTGGGACCCTTCAGTCCGCAGGCCGACGTTCTATCCACTGAGCCAAACCGGTTAGGGCAATAGTTGTGTGTTTTTAAAACAATCACACACTTTCATTCATTTGCTGATTTGGCAAAAACTTATAGAAGGAAGAAAAAATAATTTAACTAAACTTTTGTGGGGAAATCCAGCAGCAATAGCAGCAAAGACAGGGCACTCATCCAAGTAGCTATAATATAAATTAGCACTTACTACCTTGTAGGCACTGTTTTCAGATGTTTATGTTTAATTACATTAGCTCATTTAATCCTCCTGAGTTTGTAGGTAAATGCTATTATTGTTTGCAGAGGAGGACACTGGGGGAAAGAGCACTTAAGTGGCTGCGGTCCTACATAGCAGCGCACGTAGGACAGAGAAGCCCAAAGAGGCGCTCGGGCTCTGGAGTGAGATTCCCAGCTGCTAGCCTGCCCGTCCCCGCATCCTAAAGTTAAAGATCGTCCTGGGTCCACAGAAGACCAGATGTGACAAAAGGCCATGGAGGACACTGTTGGTCTTTTTCTATCCCCAAGTCAACAAAAATGCTTCTGAGGACCTACTATGTGCCAGGCTGTCTTCTAGGGGCTAGAGACACATCCATAAACAAAGATCCCTTTCCTCCATAGGAGTCACGTTCAGTGGGGGAAGGGGGACAGAATAAATACAATTAACCCGTAGTGCAGACTATCAGAAGCTGGAAAGTGCTATGGAAGAGTAAGAGTAACCGAGTCGGGAGGCCTGGGGTGGGCTGATGGGAAACCGGAACACAAGACTAAGACAGTGCCCTGCTCCCTCGTCCTCCCAGAGCCTGTAGTCTGAACGTCTGGACGATCCTTCAGTTTCCCAGGGTCCCTTCAGCATCCTCTGAGCCTCTCTCTCACCCTTCCCTCGTCTCTCGTATCTCTAACCCATCAAAACTTATCCATGACCCGTCCCTATAAGTCAAATCTAGTGAATTTTCTAAAGCAATTCCTACTATGATGGTGCAACATTTCTCAAACAGGGGTTCTGAAAAACACCAGTTTTCTGAGATGTGAATAGAAGTGCTAAAGAAGGAATTCCTTGTTTCAATAAGTTTAAGAAACTTTCAGGAGTCTCTAATATAATCATTTGCCTTGTGAAGCACAAAGAAAGAATGTGAGATGCAGTATTTGATCTGGAAGACTTTTTTTTTCCTCTCAGAGTACCTACTAACATCTCAAGAAATCCGCGTTCCACAGAACATAGTTTGGGAATGCTGGTCTCGTGAATTACATCTCCACCTGCAATGTCTTGCCCCGACATATAGAAGTACAAAATATCTGAAAAGAAAGCTGTCATTGTACAGTGAGAAAATGGCCAGGGATGTCACGTGACTGGTCCAAAGTTGAATAGTAGTTCCTTTTATCAGTCCCTGCCCTCAAGAGCATGGTATCTAGAAAGGAAGAAATAACTGTCACGTTTTTTTGTAATACAGAATAATAAGAAAAGATATGTGGGGGTGGAGATCCAAGTGAGTATGTGGCATAAAGAAATCCTTGGGAGAGTCAGAGAAGACTTCACAAAGGAGATGCCTGAGCTGGGTTTTGAAGGGTGAGTAAGAGCTTGCCAGGATATCAAGACAGAGAAGGTAGCCCAGACAGGGACGATCACATAAACTGAGATGGAGGACTGGAACAGTCTGGCACTTCTGAGGAACTGAAAGTGATGTCAGCCCAGGTGAAGCACAGGGATAAGATAGAGAGCAGAGAGCGTTTGTAAAAGTGAGGGGTGTGTGTGTGTGTGTGTGCGCGCACATGCGCGCAGATCCTGTCTCTGTGACCTGGTATGGGGGGTTTGGGGGGGGGGGGT